TGACATATTGATCTTAGGTAAAGATTTTCACTAAAATAACTAGAATCTCTAGTTTAATCAAATTTTGAAATCCCACATAGAATACACACTTTCCGTTACAGCATTTAGTGGGCCCAAAACAAATGAATGTTGTTTTGTAACTTCCTCCTTTTTCACCTCTTGTCAACAGATCCAAATTAGCTAATTGAGGGCCCGGGATTCAGCTCAGTGGTTCTCCTGCCTCTCTAGTGCAAGGGCCCAAGTTCAATCCCTGGTACCAAAAAAATAGGAAAGTGAACACCAAATTAGCTAATAAAAACTTAATCATCAACACTTCGCCATATCTCAGAAATTCCCCAAGAAGTGCCTGTGTTTGAACTGCACTCTTATTCTATTCTATTTCTATCATCTGCTCTTCCCCATTTTCAAGTCTGGTTCTGCATTTCAATGTGCAGCCAGGTTTAAAATCGGCCAGTTCCCTTATCACATTGGGGCTCTCACAGAACAAGCCCTGTAGCTCCTACGCCGAGCGACCTTAGATTCAGCCTCCACACCAATCCCTTGGCTGCCACCCTACTGAATTCATCCAATCAAGGGTCTCAAATACCCACCAGGTGAAGTTTGGAAGAAAGAATAATTCAAATACACAGAAGGAAATAGTACTACGTAAACTGAGAGCGCTTCTGCCTGAAATATTTATACAAAATTCTTTAATTGCAGTTGTACCTCAAGAGCTGATTCTCTGTGATAAGGAGTAACAACCTATTGATACTCACAGAGTATGATTCAGCTTAAGAAGCTTCGTCTTGGTAACTGTGTCAGGCTCTGAATTTGAAACAATTTAAGGGAAATAAGAGAAGAAGAGTTCTCTCTTTCTCATTGTTATCAAATGAAACAGCACAAAGCATTGTGAGGTTGCATATACTTACACTTTTATAGTATTTATTAAAATATAAAATATATATTTCACTACATACTGTTATAAAAGTATTGCATTTTCCTTCCAGCTGTGGCTAAACGTGCTATAAAGTTTCAATTCCTCCACAAATTTAGAAAAAGACAGAAATAGCATTACAATTTGTTTGACCTGGCTTTTAAAGAATTTCTTTCTTCCCATTGCTTAGAGGATAAAGCTCTTTGTATTAAGAGTAGAAAAGTAAAATAAGACAAATTTGAGGTTTCCCCAAAACCACCCAGATTTCATTTTTTGATTGGTAGGAAATCAACCCTAGATCAAGGATCTCTAAATTTGATTCATGGCAGAATTCCTAATAAACGAATTTCATTTGTTTCCTTAAAATTGTCACTAAATTTCTCTAAAACCCGCTTTTCTAATCTGTAACAGGTGAATGTCAGTATTGCTGCATGGAGGTCTTGTGCTTAAGTGTCAGAAGTATGCGTTGCAAAGAAAAACATGAAATACCAAAGAAAGCAGTTCACTTTCATCATCTACTGATGACTGACAGCTCTCCTCTAAATTTTTACTGAAGAAATATTTTTACGCAAAATTATATATAAATTTGATGCAGAACACTAGGCATTGCCCCTCTTTTGTTGCGTCTGGAAACATGGATGGTAAATGTCCTGATCTGTCCGAGGAAGAGTCCACTAACCAAAGCCACCCAAAATCCAACCTCAAGGGAAGCATCCAGAGTGTGGAAACTCTGGACGTTCTCAGAATAAGAAATGTGGGAAAACCCAAGGATTGAGCTCAGGGACCCTGTGCCTGCCTCACAAGCACAAGATTCTACCTGAGTTTGATCCTCGGTACCAAAAAAATAAAATAATAAAATAAAAAACAAATTTTTTAATTTTCCAAAAAAGAAAGGAGGGAGATAAATGGGCTCCAAGAGACTCCAATCACCATTGCATCCAAATCTGTGCTTTGTGCATTGTTGCTGGTTACCTTGAACAAGTTCAATTTCAAGACCGTTTGGAGCAAATCTGCTAGGTGAGTCTGTCTTACTGACAGTGTATTTTCCGCAGACCTCCTTTCTCTACAAAGCACTTACTCCCTCATTAGCTAAGAGTGCCACCTTTCACAGAACTATTTTGCTTTCTGACTTTTCTCAAAGGCTTGGATTACTTTTTAAATTTCCCCTACATTTAGGAAAGTCACTAAGAGCTCTTTTTAATTGCATCTGAACCCAGGTGATGTTACGCATCAAGCCCTCCATACGACGTGCAAAATATAATTTTGCCCAAAGAAAAGATGAAGTCTGCAGAATTTTTCTGTTGGACTTCCATTCAAGGCATGGAAACATTTTTGAGCCAGAATGACTGTCAACCTATTTAGATTAAAAAATACCGAGCAGGTTAGGAAAGCACATTTCTGGGTGTCTCCGTGGGGTGTTCCTGGGGACGATTGGCCCGTAACACAGCAAACTGAGCAGGGAAGACCTGCCGTGATTAAGAGTGGTGCCATTTGAAGAGGTTTGCAGTTCGGATTGGAATAAAAGAGGAGGAAAGGGACTTTGGCTGCTGTTTGCAAAGTTTCATTCTGCTGGAGGGGATGATTCTTTTGCTACTATCATCGCCTGCTTTTATCACTCTGCAGCCTTTCAGAGAAGCCACATGCACGCTCCAGGGGGTTCCAGGCCTTCAGCCTAGAGTAGTGCTGCACTTTTGATCCCCTTGGTTCTGTAGCTTCCCCTTCTTGAGCTAAATAGCCAAGGGGTCCGCTGGCTCTCCTGCAGGAAGATGATGGTCACGCGGACTATTCTATTCCATCTCTGACCTTGTAAGCTTATCTAATAAATGGCCTTGTATAATTTTATATAACCCTATATTTATATTGATTATTGTCCTCTAGCAAACCATGACCAATACACCATTCATGGCCTTCTGTATATTAAGTATATTTAGTCATTATCTCCTGGCCATTAAGGGATCTACCAAGGATGAGACATTATTTCCAAAGACTGAAAGAAGACAACCCTTTATTCTCTTTGATTTCTTTTATTCTGATGATTCAGTCATATTATTTTATTCCTAATATTTCTCTACTCATTCCAGTCATTTTAAATGTTACGTGTTCGTTACTGATCTCTCCAGTGTCTACTTTCTTGTTCTGTCTGGTAGTTCAATGAAAATTTTATGGCTGAAGTGTTCTGTTTTCCTCTGTAATAAAATTAGTCTTGAAAAAGTTTGCACTAATAAAGTGTTAAATACATTAACATACGAAGTCTTGATAATTTTTTTTCTCAGATTAACACAATCTCTAAAGTTTCTAACTCTGAAATGCTAAAATAGTAGGCAATTTCTTCAGGACATTATGCAGAGAGACAATATTCCTCATCACTGGATAAAGAAGCACAAATAGTTCTTTGATTTTTCCCTTTAGGGCAGCAAAACCCATAGGTCCACCTAAATAGTTGTATAGCTTTTATATTTTCCTTTGAACCAACCAGTAACTAAAGGCCTAGGTTATAGATGAATAGCTCTGTTTTATGAATTTGCAAATTCAGATAGTTGCATTGTTTGTATTCTTGATGCGGTGTACAACTTTCACCGATTCAAGTCATCTCTTGAGTGCCAGTATAGGTGAATTGTCTCTGTGACTGTGACGTAGAAAGAGATTATTAAAGTTAACTTTTTGCCATAAAACGCTTTTACTGCCTAGTATAAAAAAGTAGATGTCTATAAAATCCTAGAAAACCATGAAAAATTTATCGCATGTTGTGACCAATACAAATGACATCTGGAGAATTCCTGAAATAAAAGAAGGCATTTGGTTCTAGGAATTATTGAGGAAAGCTTCATGGAGAAAATGGGTGCTAATGGGTAGAGCAGTGTCCGAGAGAGGAGCAGCTCAGGAAGGGGGAACAGCGTGGGCAGATTCAGGAAGACAGTGGGGTAAGGAATACGTTCTAAGAGAGACGAGTGCACAGGCTGGGTGGAGAGTGGAGAAGGGGAGAGGTGGTAATTCAAGGTGATGTGTGGAAGCACGTCCCAGCTTTAGGCTGCATTCATTCTAGAACTGAACGAGGCGCAAATGTCCCCGTAGCTCAGCAAACCGTTTGTTAACCTCTGAGGCCACAGACACATTACTGCAGGTTAAGCAATATCTTAAAGTCAAATGTTTTCATTTCTTTCCTATTGCTTCTCCATATTGCTCTGATAGAACATGCATTTGAATCCAATTATGCCAATCAAAAATGCTGGCGATGCAGCTCATAAATCTGACTTTTAAAATGCAAGCAATTTCCTTCTCTAATGTTACAGATTTCTTGCTGAACTGATGGATGGGTGTCTTTTCCAGAGCGCGGTAATTGTATTTAAAGAAATCGGTGATTTTTGAATTTAATGTGGACTGAGTCCTACTTTGAGTTCCATTTTAAAAGATATTTCCAAAGCATTTTGTTCTCTAGGATATGGTTTGGGGTTTTTTTATTTGTTTCTTTTTAAGGAAAACTGCTTGGATAGCGGTATTTTGCCCCTCAGATCTATTACTGAAAGAAATGTGTATGATCCACAATTGGATCGGTAGACTCCTTTCATCTTTCCTTTTTATCAGTAGAAGAGGGCTCACATTACAAAAGTCATTCTGGAAATATAGCATAACACGTGATAAAAGTAACCAGGCTTATCATTGATTTTTTTAAAAAATTATTATAAAAAGTAAAACATATAGTAATTCCATAGCATCTCAGGAATAATTTTCTAGCACACACAAGTACTGAGACGTCCCTATGATTTCCTACAAAATGTATCAGATCACTGGACGTTATCCAGGAGCACCCTTGTATTAGAAAACAAAAATTTTCTTCCTGCCTAACACAATATTTGGCTAAACATTATCCTGAGGTAAATGCTAAAATCTATGACAAGGCACACTGTGATCCCTCAGTATAACATGTTTTCATCAAGTTTATTTTCTTATCTTCCTTATGAATTTTTTAGACTTTCTTCATCTCCCTACAAGTACTTTCCATTAAACGATAAATATCCTATTTATAGGAGCTTTTTTAAGACAGCCAAGTATTCATTTGCTTCACTGTACTATTATTAGAGTTTTTATTTTAAATAATGTTGCATCTTAATAAAAGTATGTTACATTCCAAACTGTGAGTTCTTTTGATCACCATGACCTTTTTTTTTAATGGTGAAAATAATGTCTTATTTAGAATTAGCCAGCTGGACTCAGTTTCAATGATCCCAATTGTGTTGGCAGCATCCAAAGCATCATAATCAGGAGCCAGTGGAACACATGCCTTCTTCTCTCCATCGGGCCCTGATGAGGGTACTGACCTTGGCCACATCAGGGTCACAGGGCCTCTTCACAGCTTGTTTGATCTGGTGCCTGTTGGCCTTGATGTCCACAATGAACTTGCGTGTGTTGTTGTCCTCTGTCTTCACGGCTGACTCCGCTGTCAGGGGTTCCTTGATGATGGCACAGTGGTCAAGCCTGTTTCTCCTGGGGGTGCTCCACCGTGTCTTGGGATGGTGGAAGGTGGGTGACGTGGGGATCTTCTCATTGTGGCTGTGGATGCCTTTCAGCACTGCTTTCTTGGCTTCCAGAGCTTTTGCTTTGGCTTCAGCTTTGGGAGGGGGAGGAACTTCCCTCTTTGCTTTGGCACCATCTTGGTAAAAAGGCTGAGCACCTTGTTTTTTAAAACCAAATCCCTTGCTTACAAAGCACAAGTCCTTAAGAATGTTTTACTCTTTAGCTTGTCACCCAAATGACAAACTACATTTAAAATGAGAGCTAATCAAGCCTGCAATTACTCCTTATGATTCTTTATGAAACTTCATGGAGAATTCCCAAGGAATCTCTTCCCTTAAGAAAAAAAAACACACACACACACACAATACACTGTGATGTGAAAGCCTTCTTTATTAAGCTGATATTCATCTGGCTTGCCTGGGGGACATAGGTATAGATGTTCCATTATGTTTGACACATTTTCTATCGTGTCTTCCCATTTTTCTGACACAGTCAGCAAAAATTAACCTTTGCCTAAAAAATAAAAAGCATTAATATGGTCCTAAGTGGTAGGTTTCTTCCAAAAGTCACTTATGAGACTCAAAAAAAAAATTCTTTCTGGATCCCTGCAGTCTAGTAATATTATGCTTTCTCCTTACACTCTCTCTTTTACCACACGTGCAAACAGGAACGGAAGATGGTAGATTTTAACTTTGGAAGAGGCAGGAGGAATGAGAGATAAAACTAACTCTCTCTGACCGAATAAGAAACTTCATGCTAAAATGTTCCTGTGTAAATATAACTTACAAAGCAGTGCTATTTCCTTTCTCTTTCCATTCTTTTCATTTCCTCTAAGGAACAACATAATCATCACATTTGCATCTAAACACAGATTCATGAAAGTAAGACCTAAAATTTACTTCTTTAAAGGGCAATGTTTAATATAGGCATTTAGTTGCAACTTTTAGCCTTCAGTAATCTAAGGTTAATAGAAAAAGTAAGAAGAAAACAGGTACGTTGTCGTGAAACTAGGAAAAAGAGATAACTAAATATTCCAAGTTGTATGAAAAGTGCTGCTGAGAGATAGACAGGATCTGGAAAGAAATAATGATGGGAAGAGGCCATAAGATTCACAGGGGAAAAAAGAAATTGCAGTAACACTCCAGCCACAGAAACTGTCACCAGATTTGAAATCATCGAAGGCAAGCCGTGAAAAAAAGGTGCAGAAATGCTGGACAGGAGTAGCACCAGGAGTCACAGAGTTTGTCCCACAAGTTCCATCATCTCAAACAACTTCAGGGTGTGGGCTAATCGAGTTGTTCCCTTTAGTAGTGTGGCTTGGGAAGAAACTCACAATAGCTCATAGTGCTGCTGAACCTCCAAAAAAAAAAAATTATGGAGAAAAATATCTGCTAGAATATTTGGGAATAAAACAGGAAAAAAGAATTGTGATTTATTGCATAAACATAGATCGGAAAGCTCTCTGGCACATCTAAAGAACAAAGGAAAACTTGAAGTTAATTCAGGGCAGACAAATAGATACAAATTATTTTGAAAAAAAATGTTGAATGGCCTTTGGGATGGCTATAATTTCTAAAAAGAGTTAGTCTTTTTTTTTTTTTTTTGTGGTACTAGATATTGAACCCAGGCCTTCGTACTGAGCTAAATAATAGCTCTTTTTTATGTTTTAGCTTCTACCTCTGTTTCCCAGTTTTGAGATTACAGGCAGGCACCACAATGCCTTGATTTATAGATTTATTCTCAACATCATGGTCAATTGTTTGTCCTCAGTTATTGAATAAAACTATTCTTAAAGTAACAGCAGGCTGCTTCATTGAACTGGCCTTCTGAACTGGTTCCTGGGGCGCAGGCTTCCCTCCTAGCTCCTTGTCTCTGGTTTAGTGGCGTTGAGACGCGTGACTTCATTTTGCATATTGCATTCCACAGCAGGCAAAAGACATCCATTCTGAAAGGCAAAGAAAGAGGTCTCCGTAGAATCACCCTTATTAGATGAGCAAAAGGCCTGGCCTGATTCTGGGGATGTGGAAAGTGTGACTCACCTGCATAAAAATCTGGCAAAACAATGGCCAGAAAAATCATACGTTCTCTAATGTGAGAAGACTCATTTCACTCTTTTCTGTTTTCTTGGGAGTCTTGTCCGTTCTGTTTGGCATCTCTGCTGATCCTACTTAGTGGTACATCAGTTACTCATGCAGTTTGTAGTTGTTATTCCTCTCCAGATCTTTGGACTTTGCTTTTGCTAGCTTTCTGTAAGGGATTATTACCTAGTCTGGAATCAGTGTGTACACTGTTTCAGCTGGGATTTCCACACTGCTCAGTTAGGGTGATGTGGGTGATGCCATAACTGTGCTAAGCACGAACTTTGATTCTTAAAATGGGGGTGGTATTTCTCACGTTAAAGTCTTGTGCATATAAAACTTAATTCGCTGAATAAATGGACAGAGCCAGTCTCATTCTCTTCCACCCCGGAGTGGGCAGTTCTTTTGAAGCCCAAACGAGGTTCCTCTCCCACCTTAGTGTATCATAGTGGTCAACGGCCACACTTTTTTTCAGCATTTAAGCTTCATTCACACACACATTAGGATAGGATGCATAACTCAGGCTGATAAAAACACCACAACTTCAGCGCTTATATACTTAAACAACAGGACTTGAGATTCTCTTTATTTCTGACATTTAACACAGCCACACAAAGAGACACTTAACTTTGTCCGATTAATCTTGGTCTGACACGTTCAAATATATTATCAAATGTTAAACTCAGAACAACCACATTATAGAAACTCTAACAGGTATTAGAAAAACTAAATCATAAAAATTCTAAAATATTTTTCAAATTGGACACGAATTTCTAAAATCTCCAAAATACACTGAAACCCTAAAATATTTTTTAGATGCCTGTGATTTAGTCGGGAAACCGAATCACTGTTGTCCTCATAGAAATTAATCCACGGGCCACTTGATCCCTAGACATCTGGCCCTTTATTGTGCTTCCTCTTCTGGCACCGCGGTGATTTGAGTGTGTTGTCACCACACGCTCAAGCTTGGCAGGGACCCAGGAAGAAGAGGGCCCATTCCCTTGTCACGTAGGGGAGGAACTCAATCCTGGAAATACGTGAGGTTCTCCTTCCTGATCTTAGTTCAGGTAGCAATGATTGTACAAGTCAGAGTTCTGGAAGGAAAGAGAGAATGCATTCACTTTTATTTGGGCAATAAAGAAACTATATAACACTATATTACACTAGTGGATTGGATTTAGAAAAAGCAGAAATGGATAGAGAAATCCCCAAGATAGCATATGTGCTGTTGAAGCGAGCACAGAGAAATCCTCGAGATAGCAGTAACAGGCTCCTAACATCCCTAGGCCTCCTAACCAGAGCCATGGCCCTGGTTAGAGAAGTAAAACCATCCCACATGGCCCAGTTTGGGGGAAGACAGAGGAAATGTGCCATACTTGCTCTCCTCCTACCTTCTCCTTGACTGAGTCTGGCTAGAAGCCAGAGGGCACAGTGGGACCTTGATGTAACCTGCATATGGACCGCTTGGAAGCCCATAGTTCTGAGCCTTTCAACCCATCGATTATACAATTTGACTTCTGCATTATTATCTGAATGAAATGCAGTTTACAGAACCATAAAATTGAACATATATAGGATTTCAATGTACAATGGAAATGTATTTATAAGAGGTACCGAAGGCATGACAAACTTCAAACACACACATACGGTTTGAATCCCCGTGGTAACTGGTCTTGACACCTTTATGGCCCTCTTTCTATATAACTCTTTACTTGTGGTGAGCTTTCTATGGCTTCTTAGGATCTGGAGTTCTGCTTTCCTTTCGGATCTGCAGCATATGCAGATACCACTCAAAGGATGATGTGCGAGGTACGGAGAGTCTCGTTGAAGGAAATCCCTCTCTGTATGTACATATTTGGTCAGTTCCATTTTATGGAAAATGAGAAACACCTTGAAATGTGTTCTTCCTTGCTGATGCAAAAACAGAAGCTCCCTATTGGATATCAAGACAGAAAAAAATCAAAATTAAAATAGGTTAACAAAATAATCTGTGAAAGCAGTCTGTGGGTGAACCTCAGGAGTACAACCAGCTGCCTGAGAAGACCATTAATAATGAAGTCAACAGAAATATCTGTCCCATGGGCCAGCTTTTGCCCTGGATGCTCTCCTGCCTTCTGACTATGCCTATATACAAACTGGCCATTCTGAAAGCCAAGTCACCCCAAACACAATGAAAAAAAACCAAGGATATTTAGATACATAAGGGCAGAAATGAATTCCACAGCATTTTATTGGCAGTATTTCAAACACAGTAATAACTGAAAATAATTTTCTGGCAATAAGGGGTCTGCGAATGTGAAGAATGGAATTCTTTCTGGAGGCAATGACATTCTTGTTAGAGTTCAAAGTTAATGTTCTCTGTGTTCAAAATCTTTCAGAGATGTTCATCTTTTAATGTTGATCTGTAATAAGATTTTCATATTTTGTATTTGAAAACAGCTTTTGCTACAGACATTTACTGCCAGATACTGATATCATTTCAGGAGCACACGATCCTAATTTAACATTTTCACCAATTTGAAGGCCTTTATAGAATTCTATTACATTCCAACTTGGTATTAGTGTTTTAACATGTTGTTACATTACATACTAATCTGTTCACATTTGAAGGTTAGGTGAAAGGTCCTTAATTGCACATTTAAGTGGATTTTGCAGTATGCAATTTTCATGTGTGTGTGTTTGCACTGAGTAAAAAAATAGTGCTGGAGTCATAGTTTGAGTACCGAAAATATATTACATGCAAATGTATGTGGGAATAAATATTTGAATTCCCATTTTTACTTCTAACAGCACATATATGAAGCAGGTTGATACGATTTGTGATTCAAACACTATTTTTTCTTAAAATGACTTTACCGTTTGACATTTAAGTACTGTTCTTCCTTGTAATGTTTGGCGGAATCAAACAAGAAATATGAATAAGTATTCACTAAAGTTCATTTCCAACACCATTCAGTGGTCTTTTTTTGGGGGGATAAATTTTAATCTTGGTCTTGAGGTCAAGAATTCACAATAAAACTTCAAATAGCTGGCATAGATGGTAGAGAAAATTAGTGCCTTCAGCTTTTTCTGACAAAATTCACAGAAAAACAATGGTTAAGTCCA